GTGGTCTTGTCAGTTCTCAGCATTCAGCACAATGTTGCCAAGTCTCCAACCATGCTGGTTGCTCGAAAAAGTTAAGAATGAACTGAAACATCATGACGACATTCTGAGCCTAAACAGAAGTCAGATCAGACAAGTGACGGGACTAATTACCGGTCACTGCCCCTTGAGGAAACATATGCATCAAATGGGCATCTATACAGACGAACCCATATGCAGACTATGCAATGAGGAGGAGGAAACTGCCACCCATGTAATATTGGAGTGCGAAGCACTAGCGCGTTGGAGATACAACCTTCTGGGAGCAGTAAACTCTCAAGAGGCCTTTCCAAAGAATGATATGGGGTTTAGTGAAGAGGCTGCTAAACCTTATCAAGGTAGCGAACCTGTTCACCTAAGTCAATCATGATCAGGAATACAATAGGCCCAAAGGCTGCAGTGTTTTGGGCTTCGAACCCTGACTGATCATTCTGCTATTAATCAATTAATCAATCAAAACATCATGGGTTCCTCCTATTATGTTTCATTCAATGACAGGACTCTAACATCTTTTTGATAACTTGATTATAATTGGTGACTTGATAACCTTGATTTATCAGTCCACTTGTCCATTGCCATTTACTACATCAAGATAATCATCAGCTCAATCATTTTGATAAACTTGGCTCCAGAGTTGAGATAATTGGAGTTAAATGATATTTATGAAACAATTTTAGAACAGGATTTGAACGAACACCAGCGCTACTGGAAGCTTTTAATTTTCAGGCGAAAATAAATTGCAAAAACTTCACAAACGATAATAAGATTTCCACAAAATTCCCAAACACACGACAAAATAAATTGATTGAAATCGATTACATGAGATGGAAATATAACGATGAGATCTTATTCAATTAAATGATAATTAGAAAGTCAGGTCATCCTGAACTCTTGAACCAGTAATTTTAATAAGCAAGAAATTTATACCTGTGCCATGTAATAATAATTAATAGGCATATCTACAAGCCTGTCGTAAAATGCGGGTTGTAGAGTAATCTCAGAGATGATCTCGGTAATGACATAGGAAATGTCAGAGACTCATCTTAGAAACGGGAAACCATCAGAGTTTATGTTTTATTGGGTCTTATTTCAGATATATACGAGCAGGATATATTAGGTATGCATTAATTAAAGTAGATGCATAATAATTTGAAATAATGTACTATTATCATTTAGTGAGCTTCCATCATATTTTTCTGCATGAATGCAACAATGCTTTAATTTTCCAATTACAAAAATACTCTTGTTATCTCGAGAGACATTCATTTCGCTCAACTCATCACTGGCTTTTGTTTGAAAGATTATTTTCCTCAATTCATAGGTATCTCTCAATTAATTTCTGAAATTATAATGATCCCATCCAATATAACACCAACATTTTAGTGTCATGACAGTAACTAAATCTTCTTGCATTAGAATTTTACAAAATATTTCATACCTCGTTAACACCAAACCACAACAGCTGTCACACACTGTTTGGAATTCGCGATTTCATATACATATATAACGTTGATAATAATTATTATTCAAGCCTGTTGATTTGAGACAACTGTTATCGTGATATGAGAACTGGCAGTCAAGCTACAATGAGTAGGTATATGTGAGGTTACTTTCGATTTCAACAAACGCGAAAACTTCAAGACACATTCCATTGACGTAGGTACGAAGAACCATAGGATCGACGTTGAAAATTATTCCATTTGCACTAAAAATTCACAGATGGAAAAATGCTATTTTCTTCCTTCAGAATTTAGGATGGGTACACTGAAGTAGCACTTTAAATCCTTGATGATGATATGTATCAACACATATATCGTAATATATTAGTAGATTAAATCTCATTCTTTGCCGAATATCTATTTCAGAGCTGAAAATTTTTTGTTTCTATAAATTAACAAATGAAATTCGGCGTGTATATGAGTATAGTTCATAAATATGCATTATTTGACGTATTTAATTGATTTCTGTCACTGTCTGTCACACCGATTTGACTGGAAATGACCCATATGCTCTTATCTTAAATGGAACACACGGAATATTTTTACTTATTCCGATAGATGTGAGCACAACGACACCCCATTTTCCACTTTTTGACATCCCTAAATTCACATTTTTCAATTTTCAATCCAGTGTGATTATGATACAGTATATTGATTCAAAATATCGATTATGTGGTATCAACGTGTACGTAACAAAATACCCTTTTCAGATATGATGCTGATTGCTGATTGAGCTAACATCATAATTACACTACTCTAAATTCTGAATGAACCTGTGAAACAAATAATGTATATTTATGTACTATAGACTCGACTATAGGCACACACCGAATTTCATTTGTTTATCTGTATAAACAAAGAATTTATAGGGGTGTGAGCTCGGGGGTGAGACACTTTTGAGAAACACCCGGTATATAATTCTCCTGCTCCTGTCACGGTGTTCTTATGACATTTTTATGCATATTCTGTTGATCTGAGAATCGGTAGTAAACTATTTTCCAAATTGATAATTCAAGATGGCGGATTCAATATCGCGGAAGAGTTTCGTAATTACGATCCGATTCTACTCAAAATTGGTATCTGGGGGATCTCGGGGTCGGAGATTATGAGATTTTCTTCAAAATGATTCTACAATATGGCGAACGAGCTTTTTGATGAATAGTAGTTTGAAAAACTATAATGAAACACGCTTTTATAGGTAGCCAAACACGAGACCAAACTAAATAATAGAAGTAGAAAATCGTAGAAAATAGATGGCATCAAATAGTTTAAAAAATTAAAGAGACTTATTGTCGAACTAAGGAGAAGTAGAAAATACAAATAATTTTCATGGATAGCCAAACAAAAAAGAAGTTGAAAATAAAATAATAAAAGTGTGCTGATGAATATCTGAATGACAAAATATTTTCTAGAAATGAACGTAGGTATATAGCAAAACAACGTGTGCCGGGTCAGCTATTATAATGAAAATAGTAGTTTGAGAAACTTATGAAACACGATTTTGAAGATAGCCAAACCAAAAAGAAGTAGAAAACAAATGGTACTTTAAAAAAATGATGAGATAGATTGTCGAACTGAAAATAAGTGGAAAATAAATGGAATAGTTTGAAAAACTAAAGAAACACCCTTTTATGGATAGCCAAAGTGTTGAGAAATATGTAACTAGAAAAATATTTTCCAGATAATATGCTCAAGGAAAAACAACGTTTGTTGATACTCTAAGACCTCGTTGATATACAAATCGCATTTCTAGAATCTCAAACATAGATGCTCGATTTCTGTACTATTTTTATGTGGTGATGATGTCATGAATCGAAATTTGATAAATCACTCATATATTTATACTCGGTAGATCAAAAATTTCTAGGTTATTCTAAAAATATAAACTTATTTTCACACATTATGTTATTATGAATGGAAATATATTCAAATTGGGTTCTTACCTAATGATCTATACATAAGTATGTGTTGAATTATCATCTCGATTATCATTAAAACTTATCATTGTTTATTATTTTCTGTCTAGATTTTTATGCTTAATGAACAGACACATAATATTCATGTGCATGATGAAATTGCTGTACTGCTACAAATAATGAAACTGTAACTGGATTAAACGCAATTTTTCTCTTTGGGTTAACAAGCGGAAATTCTCTAAACCTATCCAAGAAACAACAACGCAAGATGATGCATGAATTATATAATTTGGAGTTACAGTTATAGATATAATACCTTCCGTAATATATATTCTTACTACTTCAGAAAAAAATGTTTTGTCTTCATCAACCCCTATAATTTTGTACTTATATTATTCAGATTTCATTTTATCCATCTAACATTGACATTCATAAGGAATATTCTCTTCCTTTTCCTGTTATTTTTATAGACCTTCAATCGCAGATTCGTTATTAGGTTTTCTCAATTCAGGATTTCTCTTCACGTCCTGTATGATGAATTCGTCATACATCCAAAAATTGATATTGATGTTTTGAAATATTTCTTCACATTCAACGTGACATGTTGAACTTCCATATCAGAAATTTTGTTATTATAGGTATTTAGTAGAAATCGTTGACAGTAGTTTCAAAATATTTTAAATTACCTATTAGGTCACTTTTGTATTGATTCAGGAATTATATTTTATTGCACATCAGCACCCAACTTGAACAAATCCATATAATTTTCAAACGTTTGAACTTCCGCTATGAATACCTGAAATAAATAATTGTTGTTGACTTCATTACTGAGGCGAATACATAAACTGTAACTGTTGTGTCCCACTTATTGGAATGTTTGGCCTTAGATGACACTCTGTACGACTTTTGGCTGGACTTTTATTTGGAACGTCATCGATTTTCAACATTTCTTGACCCTTTTTCGGCCATAAATCTTTTTAACGGCATCGTCAACTTTAAAGACCTCATCTGAAACTTCTTCCTGACATTTATGTTGCATAGTAATTAGCTCGACTTTTCAACGCGCAGCTTTTCGAATGTGAAACAGCATTGAAAAATGCCGAAATGGGTCCACAGCCATATATTTTTGTTTATCACTAGCCTGAATCGAAATTTACTATACTAGTTCTATGTAGATACTGCCTTCTGCCTTCATCTTATACTGCTTATATATTTTCTGTACCCAAGACCATTTACCATTTGTCATTTACAAAAATGAGACCTACATATTACATATTATTTTCATGTGTTAAAGTTGTTAGCAACAAACATGAGAGATCAATTCTCCGGACTAGTCCTGCGTCCTGCCAAGGAAAATTGTTCGGAGTTATATCATTGTAAATATGCTTTTCAGTCTAAAAATTGAGTGGAATTACTAGTGGACGAGGTGCCAGACATTATATACACACAATGAAATACGATCTGAATCAGAAACCTGAGTAGAACAAATTGGTTTCCATGCAATTGTAATTAGATGTAACCACTGATCACTCGAATAACTATAGATCACCTGCTGATTAGCTGCGCTTTTTCTTCTACTGTAGAAGCAGCACGTAACGCACTTCATAATTTCCGTCCAAAAATACGCAAAAATCTACCGTGAAACCGATGGACCGACCAGCAAAAACCAACTGAATGCTTACTTTATTAATAGGCAATAAGTTATCGCACAAACATTATCAGTAATGTAAGAACTGCTTCGTCAAACAAACCTACCAAGTCATGGTACGGGAATAGAATCCGTATCCTATCGGACCTTGACGATGCAAACCAAAGTTCAACTGTTTAGTCAGTTTAGTGTTTATCGCTCCAAAACAATACACCAAACAAAAATGCACTGCACAATCTAGATTGCGGCGCGGAAGAAACTACCGTTTCTACATAGACTATGACCGTGTTTTGTTTACCAGAAAGGAAGACTGAAGACTGTCTGGTCTGGCAGTTGTTCGTTCGTGCGGACTGGTAGAGTTCGCGAATGACAGCTCGTGGGGCTGGCTAGCTAGATCCGAGAGGATAAAGAAAAGAGAGGATAAAGAAAAAAATGCAGTTTTTACCTGCATGACAGGTAGATGCAGGTACCTTGAAACAGGTAGGTAGACACAGAACAGAGATGCAGCCTCCGCATATAGTAACGTTCCGGGTCCAGATGCAGCAGTTGACTGCATACTGCATATAATATACAGTGGCGGATTATACAGCTGGGGGCCCGAGGGCTGTTACCAAGAAACGATCTTGAGAAATTTGTCATAAAATTATGAGGCGGAAATAATTTCTCTGGCAAAAAATGTATAGCTCAACAGGACACAACGAAAAATTTATTTATTTATTGAAAGTACAGTTGGTGAAAGTACAATTATTAAAATTTAACTCAACATTAGATTCGTTGCTGTTCTCTACTATAGAAGATCTATTACCACGCATAACATTTATGATCTTGTTGTGGTGTTCTTGATCTAGATTTTGGTATGGTTTTATAGAATTTTGATTGCTATGACCAGTAATTTTCAGCAATTGTTGTTCTCCTACACCACTTTTTGCTAATTCGCTTACAGCAGTTGATCTATTCGAGTGATTTGTTATCTTTTTGCTCGTCTTTTTGTCCTTCACATTCAAGCCAATTTCCTCAGCAGCAGATTTAGTCCATCCATTTATTGTATTTCTTTCGACAGTCGTGTTGAGGTAATACCCAGGTAGCCAGACTGACGAATGTGACGTCTATAGGACCGCTATCTAAGGTCTTTTTTGGTCTCATACGTCTTTTGACCAAATTATGACGTCATGCGGACGACATTTATGTGACGTCTTATGGACAGCCACTATTTGACGTCGTATAGACGTCAATCTATGGTCTTCATATTTTTTTGGGTATTATTATCATTATCATTATCACTATCATTATCATTATTATTATTACTATTATTATTATTATTATTATTATTATTATTATTATTATTATTATTATTATTATACTTTGAGTTCATATAATTCCAGTCACGACCCTGCGGCCTCCGACGTCACGCAGAGTCGTGCTGGATAAAATCCAGTGACTACTCCTCACAGCCTGTGAGGTGAATAATCACTGGGACCAAGTTATTATTATGTATGTATAGGAAAACGAAGTTATGAAATAAATCAAATAATCTATCCATCAAATAACTGTATAAATGTTTAATAAAAATGTATTTTATTCCATAGGCTTCCCTTTATTTTCAATGTTTAAATTTAGCGCCAAAGACATTTCTCACATTACCGACCAGATGGCCAATGGCGATCAAGTAATTACGTGAAGAGATTGTGTATGCGACTCGCGACCATCTCGCGACCGCCGTTAGTGGCGTTAGTGCCGTTCAGCGGTCCGGTCTGTGGTTCAGCGTCAAGCTTGCATCGTGCATGGTGCGTTCCCGTTCATGTTCATTGTCCATCGTCCATGTTCGAATGGGTGTTGTTTGTGAACGGCGTCTGTGCCATTGGATTTGTTAAGAATGTTAAAATGTTGAGTGTTTGAGTGGTATTTCTATACAGTCTGTTTTTCACGTGAAAGTATTCAGGATGTATTGTGTGTGTGATGACAGTGGAAGCAACAGTGTAGCTGTTGTTCACGAAACTTGGCTGACGCCGTTGAAAAAGGAAGTGTTTTGCCCGCCATTTAATTATACACAAAACATACAAAAGAACTCTCTGTGAAGGGGCAGCCATCGACGCTGAAATTTTCATCTATATGTAATACCTTACATTACTATCTTGTTAATAAAATGTTCATTCGTAGCAAATTTATTTTATAGCACAAATGATTACATTCCTCACCAGGTTATAACCATTAACCTCAAAATTTTATACAAAAAAACAGACGTCTTATTGACGTCGGAAATTGGTCAGTAGTGTCAGTTTAAGGTCCAATTTGAAAACACATACTGACGTCTAAAAGACTTTCAAATATGACGTCATTTGGATGTGTCTTACTTACGTCATTTGGACGTCGCATTTGTTAAAATAAAGACGTCTTTTGGCCGAATGTGATGCCGTCAATTAGACGTCATATAGTCGTCATGTGCTACCTGGGTATTGACGCCTCGTTTTGATATCAGTTTATGAAAAAGACGTACTGGGCAGCTTTGTATTTCACTATTAGAAACCAACCATTTACTACTAGCACAGCTTCTAGAACCACCTTGGCACGATTTAAAGAACACCGGATTGTATTCAATGCGACTTGTTGGAGAGTCATCGTTATTTTTCTCGATTTGAAAGAAATCCACCAGACAAGCAACTGCCTCTCCTCCTCGCCATGCTAATTCTACAGCAGCAATATGGTAAAATTTACGCATGAGACCTTCAGGAGTATTTTCATCCCATAGCAATACTATTTGTTAACTTCAGACAAATTTAACGGAACTGAACTGGACTTACGTTTACATGGATCTGCTTGTAGTTTCTTCCTGATGCACCGCGGGTATCTCGGGTTGGTTTAAATACTATATTGTTAAATGGGTCAATCATAATATTATAGTCATTATGATTCTTTTCGTGCAAAAGTTTGCGCGAAGCGTTCCACATTGTCTTCACCGTCGCTTCTTCATATTCGGTCCCGTCTTTCTTTCTCATATTGACTGCCCAATATTTTAGTATCAACGCCAATCCTTTTAAGTTTCTATGTTCATTTAATTCATATTCTCGTTCGCAGCAAGATTCTATGAACATTCCCCAGATATATTTGTGACTGTAGGTTGTATTTTTGGGAATTTTTCCTTTGATTAGCGCATTTACACTGAACATTCCCATTGCCAAAGCGTGACATCTTGAACTTCATTTGGAATGAAGTTGTCAAAGCCTGAATGTAATTATCAGTATAATGTAGAATTGATTGGTTGTGTTCAATCATGTGACCACAAATTATTTGATTTCATTGGATTTCTACTTAACCAAAAAATTTTCAAAATAATCACATCTCAAAAACGCTTACTGTCGATGACGTGACATACCGATAAGCACTATACTGTTTCACTGCTCAAAAACCATTGAAAATATTTTCAAATTCCACGGTAGAGTTTTTGGTTGTCGACCGGCTTGACCGATTGGTCGTTTGTGTCACGTGACTAATCACAATGACAAAAAACTTCAAAACCGTGAACTTCACTGATCCATTGATGGTATACCAAAAATAACACATTACCTGGTATCTATATGAGTCATTGAATTCCTGGAGAAAGATTTTGTTGAATGAAATAATTTTGCATTGTATACATCAGGAATAATACACCCCAAGTGAATACGCACTCAATTTTGAAGACTGTAGATGCCCCACTGAGTTTTATTGTAAGATGCCCTTTCCAATTTTTTGAGTAATTCGATTGTTTTGAGGTTATACTCTACATCCTAGAACCGCATCGACCACCAGAAAGCCCGAGCGAAGTGGTTTTGGATAGGTCGGCCTTGGTCTTCAATAAAAAACGTTATCATTTGAAGTTCGGTCAATGTGGTCATCAATCAAAACCCTGTGGTCGAAGAGTGGCTCCTATGAGATAGAATTCACTCCCACAGTAGGAGGGTACTGAAATATCCTCAATACATAAGTCGTCTCGTATAAAATCGCAATGGGTTGATCGCGGAATATGATGACGTCACACGCTGTCCCGCATTTTTCATGTTATGAAAAATCGTGAATTTCCATAATTATCTAAAAATTTTCAAAGGAGAAAACGGTTTGAGACAGTGAATGAGTTTGGGTTAGTACTTTGAAATAATCAAATAAAATTTTTTACTGAAATATGTCCATTATTTGAATCATTTCAATTTTAATTCTATGGGTGATAGAATTATTTAAGCTAGGTAGGAGTAAAATGAAATTTGAATTCTTATTCTGAGATAATCTTTCGTTCTCGTATTAGGTACCAGAAGATCTCAGTGGGACCAATTATTGTTCCTTCTCAAGGAGAATGATGAACTGGCTCTAGTAAAATTATTGAAAGCAGAAAGCAGTAAATAAACAGAAGGCGACAATTACTGGAGAAATTTCATCATGTCAACTGTGTAACTTATTAGAAGTGAAACAAATTCTATTGTATGCGAGATCATTATGAATATAACAAGATGAAATATATCTGCCAAAGAACCAACAAGTATATTTTTCTTTAGAAAAAACATTGAGATTTTACATTTCTGTTCTGATTCTTGATCGAAAATCAACATTGACATTGGGATTCTTATTTGCAATATCAATGCAAGAATATCAGAATTTTAACAATATGCCATATTTCTTCCAATACTTTCATCAAAAAATAAGATAAATGGTCACACTACATAGAAATATGAAAATCTATGAAATACCTATCAAGAGATGACTAGAAAATTAAGATATACAATGAATTGGATTATTACTTCAAGAAAGAATACAGGAATTAAAAACAAGGAACAGATCATTATAAAATTGAGAGGAAAACGGTGAAAGTGGTTTGAAATTTATGCATTCTGATATAATGATGATGCCAGAGGCTATGATCCCATAGATTGTCGATCAATTATAATTGCATGAGTATTATATGCGATACCTATGTATAGTTGGAAAAGAATACAACAAGGTTTTACCATCATGTACCAATACCTGTATATACCTATCAAATGTAATGAACAGTCAGTTTGATTTTTCTTGTGCAGTTTCTCAGTATACGTAAAAGTACCTTCCTATATTTTCCCGCACAAGTTTTCACGATGGCTGACTAAAACAACACTCCACGTAAAATAACTTTATTCATTCACAAAATGGAATGTGGATAGGGACTTTCTATACACTTACCTTTACTTATGTTCATTGAAAGTCATCCAGGTCTATCAATAACAAAAGAACAACGTATATTTATACTTACCAACATTTTAATTTTTTAATACCCTCAGATGTGATGACTGTTGGCATCTCCAACTACTTAACTTTTTGCAAAAAACAAAATCTTTTCAAGATATTCTGATTACTGAAACTTTATTCGATTCTCTTGAACATCTCTAATTTCTTTCTTATAAAAATTCATAATTTAGGAGGTAAGTACCAAGTAATTAGTTTTATACTTACCCTATGAGAAGATATACCGATATATTTGTGTACTACTTACAAAATATGTATGTACACTTACCTGAATAGGCACCTAATAATAACTGCCCACAAATTTTTAGATATTGTAATAAATATAGGAGGTAGTAAGTAAATATAATAGATATTGTATTGTAATAATCACTATTCGAGTATTCAATGTAGATGTCCATCTGGTATGCAAACAATATATTCTTTAAATGTTCTTTTGCTTTATCAACTCTTATTGAACAGATTAAACTGTTCTAGTCTTGGGTTCCTTCGCTCCCTTCACGAACAGATTGAAAAGTAAATAAACAAACTTCAAACTTTTGCAAATGCAAATGGACTGCCGGTTCACGGAATTGTAACGGAAAATTCGGCCGTGGCTAAATGACCTGATGTTGGTGTTGAATAAATATTTTGTGCTATTGTGCTAACCTTTCAATCCAATCAATTCAATAACATGGATAGTCGAATTCCTCATAGTTTATTACCTATATACCAGTAGGTATTAACGAATACATTGTCAAAAGGTACATCGAGTAATATGCTTAACATCGATAAAATGCTGTAAGAAGTGAAAGTGAAATTATTATTTGAAATTTCTCTATGAAGAGGTAATCATGTGATGTGAGGTTCAACGAGACATCAAACATAGCGATATAACGATAAAAAGTATATGCTTACCTTCTTCTCAGAAAGCTGCTCAACATCTGGTGTTCCAGGCATAGTTTCAGATTGTCATTCATTTCATTCATAAGAATATTTTCGAAACTAATTCTGCCAACAAGAACACAAATGATTAACATGCATACTCGAGCAGATCACAGCTGGTGATGAAGACATTGGCATCTGGTTATTCTCGTTTTCAGGCATTTTCGTGAATGAAAAATAGATAAATCTCACGGAAGAATTATTGAGCGTCACTTTATCTAGCTATCGCAACTAGCTATATAATTTTAATGTTCGGAGAACATGAGAAATTGAAAAAAATATATAGAACATCGACGCTATCGCGAAAACAAAACAAACCACATCGCAACCGACAATAACCACATAATCGACCGCTCTGCTGGTCTTCTCTCCACCACACCCGTGCTGCTATCTATCTTTTTTGTAGGTGACTAGTTAAGGAATTCTGTAGCACTGTGGCGTTCAAGCAGCGGTCTTTAAATCTCTGACTTTTGCAGTGAAATCACATTTTTACACTCCGCGTCATCTGATGTTCCAATATTTGAAATGTCACTGATCACAGGAGTGTTTTGTGGTGGTATTGGTAAATGTCAGTTGTACGTCTTGTTTTGAGGTTAGGAAGTAACATTATCAAGAATGTTTCATCATTCTTCCAAAAATTGTACGTAGGATGAGAGGATTGCAAGGTACAATAATGAGCTTAGTGAGTATTACCCGAAACAAGATATTGTAGTCATGAATTGCGACAGATTTTATAATCATACGTGGAATCACCGAACAGTGCCTGAATCAGTTATTATACAATCAGGTATTTTTACCAGTTTGATTTCTAGTTAAAATATATGTCATTAGAAAATCCTTCCACAGGTGGAAGTTGAATGAAAATTCATTTCGTCATCCTTGAAAGACAAGGAGAAGATGTTCAAATTCCGAAGTTGCATTTCTAGAGTAGTGGCTATTGTTTCAAAACGTTCCACAATAACATGCAACTCATGCAGCAGACTTTCTACCTCAAGTTCAAGTACTACCCCGATTCGACCAGGAATTACATTAGTATTCGGCAAGTACCTGTTAGCAACAAATACGATCAGTTCCGGTGTTCTCATGCTCATCGGAGATATTTGTCAGCAAGAAGTTGAATATCGGCAACGCAAAATAGAAGAAAGATATGATTATGGTAGACTCAGTAAGTCTCTCTAATTTTGTGTACATGAAATGGACCCATAGTGCTTTCAAAATGTCTCTTCATATTCTAGGTCGAATGTTTATTGTGGGCGTTGCACTAGGCCCATTACATCATTATTATTATGTATGGTTAGCAAAAACTTGGCCAGCAAGGAGTGCAAAAATCATCACTTGGAAAATTCTTCTCGACCAAATTGTTATGTCCCCGATTTGTATCGCTGGATTCTTCTATGGAATGGGGATCCTGGAAAGAAAATCAGTTCAAGAATGTAGTGAAGAACTAGTTGACAAGTTCAAAGAAGTTTACTTGGTAAAATACACTTTTTATTTTTTGTTCCTTATTTCTGAGCTGATTTATGTTTTTTAGTTGGATTGGATAGTATGGCCCCCAACACAGTTCATAAATTTCTACTACATTGCTGTGAAATATCAAGTGCTGTACATAAATGCAGTGACAATGTTGTATGATGTATTTTTGTCATACATAAAGCATAGAGAACTTGCTAGGGAGCAAATAACACATGTTGAATTACTTGAAGCAAAGAAAATCTAAAGGGGGTTAACGTTTAGTAAACTTTTAATCAAAATCCAAATGTTTTATTTGCGAATGATGAGATGTGGTCCAGAAATTTCTCCATATGAGGTGTCAAATTGGATTTAAAATGATATCTCTGGTATCGGCCATTATGATAATGTTCAATATTTGGCCAAAGAGACTAGAGAGAAGAATATGTACAAGAAGTTCCCGATTCTGACTTGACTCGCCAGTTTCTATATCTTATATTATTGGGCACTAAACTGAAAGAGCAGTTCAATAATGAGGAGTCCATGCATGGTTTAATTGCTACACTGGACGTAGACGGAAAAATTAAAATCTTCAAGAATTTGAAGAAAAAATATCATGGCCATCTGGTAGAGCGAGTATACCCAGAATTATCGAAAATAGAAAAAATTTCATAAGTACTTATTATGATTACTATAATTTGTAAAAATTCGAATATATAGGTACTAAACAGCCAAATTTGTATACAAGCATCACTATAACATCGCCATTAAAGCATTTTGTTATTGTTCTGCTAGTATACCTATATATAACATAAATCCATTACAAATCCATATATATAATGTAACCTTCAAGAAGTTAAACGATGTTATATCACCTTTTTCACAAAAACCAAACATCCTCTAATAAAGCGTTCGGACTTCGTGACATCGTCATCAAAATCGTTATGTTATTTCCCACCGTTAACTCAGATGATTTGCCGATGCTCAAAACTATTTTCCTCAATGAAAAATGAAGTGGGACAGCAATGTTAATTATCTTCGACCGACAAACTGTACACACGATCTTCGATTCTCCATCTCCCACTACTGGTTCTTCACATGTCTTGGTGATGAGGAATGTAGTACAGATAATCATTATATAATTCAGTTGTTGAACAATTAACATATCTGTGTATTAATTATTGATACGCAGATATTGGCGTCAAACAGTGAAATCTGTCATTCTCTGGAATTTTTTTTTTTTATCGCTTGGAGCGCACGAAAGGGAATCCCTATAATGTTCAAAGAACATCGTGCGTTCCTAGGGAGGATAGGGACAGGAGGTAGGCATTGGAATTTTTTTTGAACTTTTGGAGATTATATGTTGTTGGGAATACTTCCACAGGCAATGAATTCCAGAGCCTAGCCGTTCTATGGATGAAGGAGTCTTGATAAAGTGCTGTTCGACATCTTTCGAGGTTGACAACGAAAGGATGTGCTGACTGGGTTTGTCTAGTTCGTCTGGTTGGTATTGCTAGTGAAGGGATGATAGCAGAGATTTCCGAAGAACATTTCCCGTGGAAGTATCGATAGAAAAGTGAAAGGTCGCCGACCTTTCTACGGTGTTCCAATGATGTCAAAGAGTGAGTGAGTGTGGCGTCACCCACCAGGCGAATGGCTCTTCTCTGGATGGAATCTAAGAGCATCAGCGTATGTTTTGGTGCTGAACCCCATATGTGGGAACAGTATTCTAGAACAGGCCGTATCTGCGCTTTGTAGATCATGAGAAGCTGTAGAGGTGTAAAGTAGCTTTTCGCACGAAACAAGAATCCGAGTTTTTGTGAAGCAGCTTTTGCGATGGATCTGACATGATTATCCCATGAAAGAGTGTTGCTGATGGAAATACCGAGCATAGATATGGTGGCTATGCCTTGTCATTTCACGTATTGCCGGCAAACAGAGTAACTAAATTTCGTACAGCGTTTGCCTAATAGTTTAAGGAAGGTTCATTTAACCTGAGTCAACTTAGGTCGTTTAGAAGCAGTAGTGTCTTCTGCTCTTTCAAGTGATTTTCTGAAAAGTATATACTTTCTAGGAAGAAGGTTCATTTAGGCGGAAAAATAGTATCTCTTATTCTTTTGCATATGCAGAAAGGATATTTTCCTTCCTCGACCCTCCGGCAAACAGAGTAACCGCTGAAAATGAAGTTATGCTGTTACGCTGTTTGCCGACAATACGTGAAATGACTAGGCATTTCAGGGAATGGCGGATTTCACTAATTGACGCCGTCAATTGTTTCGATTCTTCATTGAGTAAGGTTATTTGGGATGAGGATTTCTTTGATGTTCTAGGTCGTGACTTCGTGGAATATCCTTCGTGACTTTCTAATCGCTTTCTAATGGCCTAATCAGCTATGTACCTATCTACCTACCTAACCATAATGGGAACTTAGGTATAATATCTGCCTACCTTCTAAAATACCCAATAATCCTGATAATGGTCGTATAGCTTATTAGTGAAGCGCCATTGATATAAGAAACAATACATTTTGTAATGTGATTCCCATTTTTCATATAGGCAGGTATGTTTAGGAGCGTATATAGCTACCGCCGTATCTGCCGTTTCAATCATACGAGACCCCCGGGTTACCAGGGGTTTCTGTAATCACAAATTCGTAAAATATTATTATCAATCGTACTCAAACTATTTGGCCTTATAGTAGTTATAGTTGACGGCATTTCCAGATTCTGCATCTGAATTGGACAAAACTGGTTGTCTAATATATAAGATTTCCAGCGACGCAGGTTAGCAGACATCAGTATAATAGCAGAATCGTACTTCAAGGTCAATATGTATAGGTACGTTTGTTATCTCAGAGTCTTTTTGACCTGAGTAATACGTTCGAAGTGTTGGAACCGTAGAGGAACTTATCGTTTTCCAAAATATAAATGAAAGCGGGAAAACTGTCTGCTAATTCCAGTGAAGATATGTCTGGTGACCTGTATGAACAATTAATTGCTTTGAAAGCATGTTTCAGAATGAACTTCAGAAAATTAATGTCATTTAGGAAATCACGGAATTATAATTGATAAATCAACTCCTAGACGGAAAACGCTATTTGACAACGACGCGAGTCATTTTGACATTGATAAAAAAGGATGCACCTTTTTTATCGAAGATAAACTGCCTGCTCCTTTGATCTAGTAGCTATTTGCGCCTGATGTCACTCCAATTTCTGTCGTGTCAAGTTTGATTGGTATATGATTGGTATGGTTCACGCGTAAATTAGCAAGATGAACCGTTTTAGGAAAATTTCGTCTGAAGAAACCACGGAAATATGAGAAAATCTATTCCGCAAACTACCCGTTACACGGAATCATCAATAAAGGTGATCATTATTGTTGTTTATTTGTATATTGTCGTTGAACTCGTTGAGTCATCTTGCCACAAAACACTCGAACTTTTTTTTTATTTTATAAATTTCCTTACTAACTCAAACATTTTCCATCGCAGGTATTTCTCTCGAAATTGTTCGACCTATACGGTCTCGCCATTTTTTCTCGTAAAATTACTGATCGGCAAATGTTTTCCGTTAACAAAAAAGCTCTTGTGTTTTTTACTGTTGATAAAATTCAATAACCATGTATCAAGTTTTCCGGAGGTAATAACAGCATGCTTTCTATTTTTAACCCTTCTGACGATTGCAACTGCAACAGCTGAAAGAAGCTTTTCGAAATTAAAACTGATGAAAAAATATCTAAGGGCTTCAAAATAGGATAAGAACGGCTATCTGACTTGTCAGTACTGTCTATAGAGGCAGAAAATTTCGAGAAACTTGAAACCTTTCCAGCTATAAATGAGAAAAGCTACAAAAGTAGCAGCCCCAAGAAAAAACGCCACATGTGTATGTTGTATGAGGCAGATCTAATGTGGAATTTCTAGATTTTATGCACCTCTAGTTTTACTATTTTCGATATTAAATATTTTGACGTAGATTATTTCTATATTAACTGGTCAATTTTCTTTCTAGGACACCAAAATAACATTTCGATACCTAATGAGATACTGAAATAGCTATATTCACAATTATCCACATAAAAGAGTCATAGGTATTGCGAAGAAAGTCCAGTCTAATGTATGTACGTTGATAAAACCTCATTCCTCAATCAAAACACTGAGGTGGTTTTGATGAAGTGGAAGATAAACCAGCGTACGCTCATGGCGATAATGTCTTGGGTGCAATGGGGAGAATGCATGGCTTATCAAAGAAGAGTTGTGTTGGGAAGACCTTTACCGCACAATCTGATGATCGTACAGTCGGTTCAGAATTACGCCGATAACTAGATTTATTATCATGGAAAATTATAGATTTATGTGGGATCTTGCCTCACGATCATGATGATATACTTCTTTTATGTAGACTTATTGTATAGCTAGACGTACTATATATATTGATGATATCCTTATTCACATATCAGTCGTCGTCTCGGAAGAATAAGAAACAATATAAGAACTAAATTTATTGATGAAAAAATTTTTTCAACGAATTATGATCATCTTAATATATTAATTTGCCACAAAATGTACCTATACTGATCTCCAAAACCTAACCCGACCTTTTGAATCCCATATCAGTGTCGCTTATACATTATTTGAAAGTTTTGACACACTTATATATATTTTGATATAAGTACCGATAAAATAGCATCCTTTTTATAGGTAGTTTCCTTAATCATAAGCAGCATATAGATACGGTTGTGTTTACTGACTCAATATGATATTTTAGAGATACTTTCTTGCTTTTGTAAAATTCAGAATCTTTGTTGTTTCATTCTGAATGAAGTCCGTTCGCCCCCCCAAATAATTTTTGAACCACCTGGTATATCGCAACGAGATTTGGAGGGCTTTCATGAGACATAAAAACCTAATTTTCCATGGAAAAATTGAAGCCAAAAGTTTTAATATGGCGGCTAAGCGCCATGTTGCTTTCAATCAAGTTTGCATTGGAGAAAATCGTCACGGTGACGTCTTGTTTGCTGTCAAATTGACTGTAACTGTCAAATAGTCCGTTGACCGCCTCAAATAATTTTTTACATACTTCATTTCATACCGAAATGTCATCTTTCAAACGTTATAATATTTCGAAAACAATTGGATATTGTATCGATAAATTTACCCACTGAGACGCCACTGGAAATATTATTTCGAATCTAATTGCACTAGAAGAAAAGCTCCATCATATTGATATTAACAAAACCACAACGTTTATTCATTGAAATTGGTGGAAAGACAATTGAGTATTGAATGAAAAAACGAATTTTCATGGAAATTTTAATACTCTGATTCTCGAAAACGAAGCAAGTTTTTATATGCACTTTATTTCCTAAAATATCACAAGGAATTGAATTTTTTCGGTGTTATTTGAATACACCCTGTATACAAATAGTTCCTGTTAGGTGTAGTGCTATAATATGTAGGTGTATATATCATCAGTTGTGATTAAAATTTCTCTTAGTTTAGCGAGCACCCATTGGGACAATCTGAATTCCATTACGGTACCGACGCTCCTAATGGTACCATAGTACCCACCAGATGCATCAACTGCATTCGCTCACCTCAAAACTGATTTCCATCGCAACTCTTGATGCTCATTGTCCCCCCTACCTTTGCTTTCACACTCGGTGTTCAAGTCACTCCACGAGCATACACAGCAGTAGGCCTCCGATCCCTTATCGCTGCCACCGAGATAACCATTCAAATCATCGAAAACTTATACCTGTTATCTTCACGATAACGCCGTGATGGCATTCGCTAGTGTTTAGTTAGTGTCAGCACCGTCATGTTCAAGAAGCACCGCCCGAAGTTGACACCTCCGCACCTCAATGGGGATGCTGTCCAAGAAAGTAATAACTTTGCGCCTAATAGCAGGGCGCCAGTGTCTCCTGTATCGCCGATTTCCAAGAACACTTTGCAGTTCTACTGCCAGTTGGCCCATGGAAGTCCTACAGCGTTTGTTTCCGGGTTTGCCAATGTCAAGGAGTTGTACGAGAAGATTGGCGAGTGTTTCGACATTCCATCATCAGAGGTGAGACATGTAGGGGGTTAGCATAATAAAAAAAACGAGTTCATTCGGTATATTGGTAGGTACCTCTATAGAGGATTTTGAAGTGGTTCTATTTAGCGCCACCTAAACTAATGCGAAATTATCCCAGAAGCTACCCCGTTACCCCCAAAGGTTTTGTAACATGTATGATTTTTCTATAGCGATGTTTGTGTCGTAGATGAAAAGGCTAAAATAGATGCGATGGAAAATTTGGGGAATAGTAATCTTTATTGTAATTGTGACTACTCAGAGCTCGTAAAAATATAAGATATGATAAGATAAAATAATTATTCTTATGTTGTCGCAATGCATCACATCAAACAAAATAACCTATTATTTGATTCAATTGAGGAATATGTTGTAATAAACGATAGTGTCTCCCAATTTTCTCTTCACGACTTCGTTAGAAATTGCACGTTTCTTATATAGTTTCAGCAACAAATCAACAATTACCCCAATATATGAATTTCACGCTTTTTTCTTACGTGGTTCACAGTATAGATTATCATTTACCTAAGGATTATGAGATAATCTGCTATTTTATCTTATCGCAAATGTAATGAGAATTTGAACATCGTCATTTGAACCTAGTTGGAAATATGTTACCTATCAATTATTGTTATCGTAGATACCTACTTCAAGCTCCTGTAGAAATTATTCTCTCATCAATCTTTATATCGATACCTATATAAACATATTGTAGAAGATAATTGTTCAAGTTGGTTGTCATATAAGTTTCAACGTACTAAACGAAGACATATATGTTCAGATATTGAGGAATTTATAAATCGAGAGTGCATTTTTTACCTATGGCCATGCATTATGAAAATATTGGTCATGAAACAGTTTTGCATTATGAAAATGAGAATGAATTGATGCCTTATATACTTATTTGTTTTATTCACAATGTCCGATACTACATTATTGGTCTTGATTGATATATTTAATTTAAACAGTTACCTTTCTATCTGATAAATCAATAAGAATTTGGACGATTTATGAATTTATCTCATTATCATCAACATATTTAGAATTCTTTTGGCGTGAGATTTCAAGCAGGCGCTAATTATCAATAAGCCATGCATTTTAATCATGTTCCAGCACTATTTGTGCACTAATTACGTTCTTATATTATTTGGTGTAGGTTTTTTATGGATGTTAAATTAGTGTTCAATGTTGTTATTACTTAGCAAACATTCTTTTTGTCAAGGTCGATTAATGCAAAATGATAGGGCGGTATTCATTATTCTTTCAGACGTAGAAATTTATTCAACTATATAATATAGAGTCATTTGAATCTGCATGAAAACTTGTCTAAGTCAAATAGTCCATAATAATGACCCTAGATTAACTGTTGATGGGTACCTATATCCATTACTTGCATCTAGAACTCCTTTACATTTTTGGATTAAATCTAATGCATGTGCTGATTTTTGAATAATTTGTCTTCAGCTTATTGAATAAAACTGTTGGCGTTCTTTTCAAAGCACTCTTCGCAAAAATGGGTTTTTTCCAATTTTGATCATCAGGAAAGATTCGATCATATCGTGTGATAAGTACATCATTGTAATAATATAAAAAAAGACTTTTCAAAAATGTAAAAATTTAATATGGCGCCCATAAGAAAAAACGAAGTTGTGTGTTATAACTTTGGCATCAAGAACTTCATGGAAAATACAATGACAGATTCAGATTCCTTGTAAAAAAGTGCTTCAAGAATGTCTCAGTCAGAAACGTCTAGGTCTCTTGGTTTCCGCTTGAAAAAATAAAAACAAAAATTATAAATGGACACCCTGTATTAGCTAGATAGGTGGTTTCGATATTTTTTGAAAATAATGATTTCATATTTGATGATAATGCATGGCATTATAGCGATCAAGAGAAAAAAATTCAAGATAGTTTTTCATTAAACATTAACCACCATTTGTTTGTATTGTCAGGGCACTTATTTGTATCAATTGCTCGCAGAGTGACCCCTATGATATCTATACAGAGTATACAGCCATAGTTGTTTTTGTTCTGCGATCGTTATAATCACTAATCAGTATACCCGGAAGCCCACATATCCATGTATCCGGTGAGTCTATGGAAAATGAGAGTTATCGCGTGATATTGCATAAATTAAAATACACACTGATGCTGCTTGGTGAGGATTGAACCCATCAGGATCGAACATAAAAATGTAATGTAACACATCTAGACAGCTTTCAATGTCAGACAAAAATTTATAAATTATCTTACAAGGATTTAGGTTATTACCACCGAACGTGATTGTCAATATTTCAGATATCCTACTGTACAAAATTATTATTTCAAAGTTTGATGAAGGTTCACGCTTCAATGAACTTATTGTCTCAAAAAAGTCTGATTTCTATGCTATGGCGGTTTTGAAATAATGTTCTGCTAATAACTAGTCAATTCAATATACCTATATTGTTCATATTATATTGAAATAGGTAATGTTTCAAAAGGTTTGCATTATTTATGGAATTAACTTTGTGTAATGCTTAAGAATGAATATTTCGAAATATACTTGAATTCATTTTCATTATATAATTATACAGGATGGCATTGAAATAAGTGCAAATATTTCAAGCCTTGAATGAGCTCGACGTATACTATCGAGTGGCACCAATAAAAAATATATAGGGATCAAAATGAAATTTGAGGTTAGACCTCTTTTTCCACCAAAAGTTCCACACTGTAGCAATTCTGACGCCACCTCTGTTCAAATTTTCATGCGGAAAAAATTATTTCAAAGTTGCATACTTGTTTTTTTCTCGTTTTTTGTTCAATTTTTGGGATGAAATTTCTTGTTAATTAAGACTTGGGAAAAATCTGATATTCTGGGAATATTCGTTAGATATTATTATATCCATGTGCTGATTATATATGTACTCATTTCAAAAACACCTTGTATAAGGAGGTACTATACTAGGTAGGTATAGATAGGTAGGTTGGTATTAGGTAACTATAGTGGTAATTTCTTGTTATTGGTCCCTGATTTGCCTATAACCACATTAACATTTAACAATCATGTGGTTTTTAGTCCTACTAGTAAAATCCTCGGTAAAATCTCATTTCAATCACCTACTTTGATTAACATAATCATTCCACTTAAGTTTTTAGAAGGGGTTGAGCTTCTTCAATATATGGATACCATATGCTACTCATAGCGTAAATATATCATGTCTACGTATCGAAATTACTTTTGAAATTGTTTTGTTTCAGATATTATTTTGTACATTAAACACATACAAACCAGACATGAAAAAGTTACTGGGAGGCCAAATAGGATTAGAAGATTTTATATTCGCACACAGAAAGGGTGAGCATATTTAGCAAACGTCAGAGATGGATGACTTTGATATTTATATGTATGTATATGGATGCAAGGCGAAGAAACGCAAGAAATCAAACAGTCCGTGTATTTTGTGTATCAATAATATAAGAATGTTATGTTTACGTATTCTCTTGAGCCAATAATTCTGATTGCATAAGATTTATTCTTGTCTGTAGCATAAAAAAACAATACATGAATGTACCTGATAAGTACTATATATATTCCTACCTTTGCAGAAATGTAACGGCTGATCGTATACAATATATACATGTTGTATGGGTTGGTTGCTACAATATTATGGTCGATGACCTTTGAATTATATGTTTAAATAATTTCTCTGCGGACGTATACTTATTACAGTCTGAAGGTCGTAAAAATGCAAATGTTTTAAATATAAGTAGGTTTACTGTAAAACTGCTGTCTTCAGAAGTTTCCTTGTAATTTTCTTCATTCATAATTTCTTCGAATAGATTCAGAAAACGAAGTAAACTGATTGCCCAATAAATTTACATATTATGTCACAAAACAGCTGATAGAATACCAAAAAGTAACGGTGGAATAGCTACTATACTCAGAATTTGTTTTTCTAACGGTGTTCAAAAATAAAACATCACGACTCCTACCGCAGCAAAGATTGATATGGTATTCTATTTAATCATTTTGATTTACCAGCGAACAAGAATATATAATTAGGCATCGAAGTTGTTGTTCGATGCGTCTTCAATGCCTTCAACAGATGCATTTCAAATTAGCAGCGACGCAGAAATCGGTAATTGAATAAAATTAAATAACATTGAATAATGATTCAGATAACAGGATTCAACACAAACCTCTTTATATCTCTATGTAAAAGCTTCTTATTCATTGTTATCTAATTTATATTGAAGTGTAATATGGATTTTATGCCGATGGCTCGAAGTTTAACACATTTCAATGGGAAAAGTATTTGTGATGATTTTAGATACGTTCAAACGGATGTTCTAAATACTATTGTCATCGATGTTTACATTGATTAACTAGCAGACCTCGCGAACTTTATTTTGCTATATAAATTATTTCTATAATATATTTTTCCAGTTCAATATCCATCAAGACACTATTGTTATTTCATTTTCTACTTCTTTTTAGTTTCGCTATCTATATATAGAAGCGTGTTCCTTCAGTTCTTCAATCTACCATTTATTTCAACTTCTTTTTACTTCAATTGTATTTCCCAATTTTGACGAAAGAATCATAATATCCGAATCCTAAAACCCCAGATGAAATTTTGAGTAGAATCGGAACATAATTACGAAACTATCGTCCGCAATATTGGATCTACCATCTTGAATTCCCTAATTTTGACGAAGGAATCATAATTTTCTCAGTGAGTTTCAACTGGGAACAGGGACACTATTCAAATCAATACAAATTGGTTTTCTCTCATTATTTCATTTTTGCAGGTAGGCCAAAGGAAGTAGAATTAGAAAAATCAGAAGAAGCGTTAGGCCTCACAATCACAGACAATGGTGCTGGATATGCCTTCATTAAACGTATAAAAGAAGGTTCAGTCATCTCTAACATACCTCATATTCAGGTAAGAAGATTACCGATTAATCAATCAGGAAGAAAGCTACCAATAGAACTGATCAAAACACTGATTTTTTGGGCATCACAGCGGATTGTATTTGAAAACTATATGAGTATCTCTTAATTTATTTTAAATATTTTGTACCTTTTTCAGGTTGGAGACCACATAGAAAAATTAAATGGCGAAAATATGGTGGGGAAGCGTCATTTTGAAGTAGCCAAAGCGCTCAAAGACATACCAAAAGGAACAACCTTTACGATTCGCTTGGTGGAGCCGATGAAAAGCGGGTTCACGAGTATAGCTCCCAAAAATGCGAAGACTGGAAAGATGGCATATGGAAGTGGCAAGGAAACACTGAGGTTCAAGGCAGGCGGAACAGCTGAAATTGCCGATCAGGTGAGAAAAAACACAATGTGGGTGATTGAATTTATTTAAGATATCAATAAAAGTCACCTCTATAGACCCCACAGCACCATTCTTGAACAGAATTTATCAGACAAATTTATTCTGGCTCTTTTGTGAATGATTATAAAATACTCTGTTGATAGATTCATCTTTATTTATCTATCGGTAGCTGTATGGGTTGCCACTCATTGAGATTATTATCAAGATCGTTATTGTTTCGATGATGAAGATCAAATATACTTACAAATTATCATTCTTATCTTTCTAGGATGATGCCCTGGATGTCGGCATAGAGAAAATCAACAATATTTTAGAGTCCTTCATGGGAATCAATGACTCAGAATTGGCTACGCAAATTTGGGATATGTCAGTGGGGAAACGAAATTCCATGGATTTTGCAGAAGCCATTGATGATTCTGATCTTGCGGCGTTCGAATTCACCGATGAATTGATTATAGAAATTTGGGGAGCCATTACAGACGCTCGAGATGGAAGGCTGAAGTGAAAAAGAGGGGGAAGGATGACTTTTGTTGCAATATTTTCACGAGATAACTATTTTGTAGATTCTATTTATTATTTAATTGTGAAGTGCCTTAATTTGTATAAGAAATGTATAATAAAACAACCATTGTTGTAAAAACTGATATCTGTGATCACACACACACGTCATAATTTGAAGGTCAAGTAAAAATATAGCCAAGTATTAACCATTCTAGAACACGTGATTTTGACATGGTTTCTTGAGGGGCACACAAACTATTTGTTAGGTTACCTTTGATGAGCATAGCCCTGGGCCATCCCTCTACTGCCACATCCACAATATGATTCCAGTTTCTCCAAACAAAATTATGAAATTCTTTCTGTTTCCAACTCGGATTCCAAGGAAAACGATCCCACTAATTCTGGTTCTATATGACAAATCTTGACAAAATACAATGTTTGCCCCTCAGCAACCTGTCAAATGACGTAATTCTGGAATGATTAATATCCTTATTGTTAGTGTAGGTCCTACTGGGTGGCTATTTTGAATTTGAAATTTGATTCCCTGTATAGAAAACGATAGCATATCTCCCCCTGAGAAACAAATCCGATAGACTTGAAAATCAGGCCCCTGGCAGAACATTTCCAAAGAAAATATTAGTACTTGGCGTTGTAATATTCACTTATCGAATGAACAGGGTGGCAAAATATGTATATAGGCATGAATTGAAAAGACAATCTATGATATAGGTAATCGGTCTCTCGTGTTGTTATATCTTTCGGTGCTTTCGACTGATATAATATAAAATTCGAAGACGACATATGAACATTTAGACATATCCTTTAATCTTTTCCACGAGTAGCGGCTATTGAGCCACCATTCTATTTTTAAATTATAAACAATGCATTCAATTACAATAATTCAAATAATGAATTAATGATATTCAAATCATGATAAAATACATGGACAGATAATGGATATCGTATTTATTAAACAGCAATGTTGAAACATGATAACCTTGGTTTGGAACGATCTAACAACTTGGATTTTTTCGAAAAATATCTATATCAGTAGTGGTAGTGTGGAAACAACTACTGACGTTTCAATTTATAGGTTAGAATTTTCAAAATGTGGAAATCGGGCACTTTTTCTTGTAGAATTGCAAAGAATACCTTTAGTATAATCTGCAATGGACCTTTGAATTCTAATCTGAAAAACTTGAACAAGGTAATGATTTTTATCACAAATTGTTCATACTTAATTTTTGAGGTTCCCAACAATTCAGGATACAGAATGGAAACTAGTAACTAGTGATTGCATTCCAGATTTTGACATGCCATTTTGCCACAAAAACTCGAAATAAAATATACACAGCAGAAGAAGCTGTCAAGGATATCACAGATGGCTCAAAACTTTTAGTTGGAGGTGAAACAGCATTTCCATAACTAGTACCATTTTTGGAAAATGTACTTTTCAACATGTGAGATCTAATACCTTTTTTTGTTGTACCACAGGTTTTGGTTTATGTGGCATACCAGAAAATTTAATCACAGCTCTTCTGAACCACAACAGCAAAGATTATACAGTGGTTTCCAATAATGCAGGTGTAGATAAATTTGGCTTGGGTCTGCTTCTCAAGCAAAAGAAGATCAAGCGTATGATATCATCCTATGTAGGGGAGAATGCTGAATTTGAAAAACAATTTTTATCTGGAGATTTAGAAGTTGAACTGACACCACAAGTACTTACTTATACCTTCAATATATTTTTTTTTGAGAAATATTCTTGAATGAGTTCAATAGTTTTTTAAGAATATTTCTAGGGGACACTAGCAGAAAGAATCAGAGCAGGAGGGGCTGGAATTCCAGCTTTTTTTACTCCTACAGCTTTTGGCACCCTAATTCATGAGGGAGGTGCTCCAATCAAGTATGATAAAGATGGAAAAGTTCAAATTTCTAGTACTCAAAGAGAAATGCAGCTATTTAATGGCAAACCCTATATAATGGAGGAAGCTATCACTGGGGACTATGCTCTGATAAAGGCATGGAAAGCAGATCCACTTGGAAACTTGATTTTCAGGTAAGTGAAAATATTTGTTGTCTTCTTTTTATCTGACCAAATTGGCATTTTCTAAAAGTTTTCAGAGTCACATTTTCATTATCTAGTTGGAAACATCACAGTTCTCTTTCATATTATGATTCCAGTTGAATAATATTGAACTTATTTTGCATTTCATATTTTGCTAAAACTCTTTCTTCAGTCATGAATAAACAGTATCCCTAGAGCAACAGGTTGAGCAACAGGTATTCTAATGAGATTTATTATTTACAAAGTAGAATCATGCTTTCATTGTCCAAAATAAGATTGTTCATAAAGGCCTCAATAAAAGCTAAACTACCAAGGACTTGTTCATCTCTTATCTTTTCATTATAATTTTGTGATTATGTAATGATTATGATTATACATGCTTCATGAATCCATGATGACTTGATGACTAATGTGAATAATTTATAAATTTTGTAATGGGAACTACAATATTATACACATATTAACAATAATATTATCCAAAGTAACTATCATTATAGCCATCAGGGATATACTAAACTAATAAAGAGTCTTTATTTCAAGCTCTATTCTGTTCCATAACTTGAACACCTCCACCAAATGTGAACAGAGTGAACAGAATAAACTGGCTGCTTTGACAGCTTTTAAAAACCCAGCCAGGTGGTGTATGCTCATGATCCATCCACTTCTATCAAGAATTATTTCATTCTGTCTATGGGATTATTTTGTCCCAGGGTTGATCATTTTCCAACAGGCCAAATTTGGCCTCAATTCTTGGCTGGTTCATTCTCTATACTCTCATTTATCTCTGAGTTGCTGAACTATCTAGAAAAATCGATCTTTCTGAAGCACAAAAAGCACTTACTTTGATATTCTGTAGCCTGTTGAATGAAAATATTTCAATCCTACCCTGATGATATGACATTCTCTTGCATGAAACCATCTAAGAATAAACTTCAAATATAGAATAGAATATAGTTTATTCATATCACAGCAGCTACCACCATAGGTGAATATATATGTCAAAGTATAGCTACAAGTCTTAAATACAATACATCTCAGTACACAAAATTAAAATTTACAAAACAATAGCACCAGTTAATGACATATGTGAACAAGAACAATTAATAAAAATCATCACAGTTCATATAGTAAGTTCCATGCATAGTTCTCATTGATGCTATAATATGCTACTTTACCAAGCAATTGTTTCAGGATATTTTGAAATTTACCTGTTGGCATCTCTCTAACTAACTCTCGAATAACAGGAAGGTGGTTATTCACTATAGAAAATAAGCGTTCGCCACCAATCGGAATTTTTTAAAGCTGTCAAAGCAGTTTGTTTAGTTTATTTTCATTGGTTCTCATTTGTTTCTTGTTAGGTCAAGTGGGGCGAATTGTTATTTTCTATTGCAAATACAACTTGATCCCAGTATAGTTCACAGATTTTTCAAACTTGGACAATCTATGTTTTCTACATTACCGATTTCTACTCTTTGCTACATACAAAAAGTAGTTCACCTTGTATCTCATAGATATCGCCACCTACTGAATTGCTTCAAGGTTGGTAGAATTTATGATTATTTGATCATCAATTCTACCGTCCTTGAATTGCTCTTGTAAGGATGGTTCATCTTGTTAGTGTAAAATAATCGAGGGCAGTATACAGGGTGTTTCAGTTTTTTGTAGCAGGACTTCAACAGCTTGTAGGAGATATTTTTTCAAGATGAAATATGCGTGGAAGCTTAGTTTCCGATTTTCAGTTTTTTTCTGTGTTTCTTGAATTTTCTCCCATAATTTTCGGAATAATTGATTTAAATTTGGTAGACGTGATACACTCCAGAAACTCAATATTTGAAGCTATTGAGCGTTTTTGAATACCTACAAGGTGATATACTTTTGGGAGTCGTACCGAATTTAACCCTGTAGAACTTTTTTGCGTGCCGCCTCCGCCTCTGCTTTCAATGAGACATCGATTCAGATTGTCTCTTCAATTTGGAAACTTTTTGCCTTCATGTATGTTTTTCGAAAACTGTATGGATTTCGAGATAAATGCCAAAAATAATTTACTTTATTTGACATTTTGTTATCGAAGTTGATGGATACAAACAAAATAAAAAAATAAACATAATAAATTTCGATAGAATATTACAGTAAATGCTCAAAGTATGAACCGTTTTGTCCCAGACACATTTAAAATTGGCGCTGAATTGAACGTCTCGCGTTATTTAAATGCTGAACTGTTATATCATGACACGAATTTTTAATTCGATGGTTTTCTCTTGTTTGAACCAGGGTTTGATAAACTTTTCCCTTTAAAAATCCCCAAACTAAAAAGTTCAAAGGGGTCAGGTCTGTCGATCGTGGAGGCCACTCAACCGGCCTCATCCGACCTATCCACGCAAAAACGTTCTACAGGGTTAAATTGGGTACGACCCCCAAAAGTCTATCACCCTGTAGGTTTTCAAGAACGCTCAATAGCCCGAAATATTGAGTTTTTGGAGTGTATTACGTGTACCAAATTTCAATCAATTATTTCGAAAATTGTAGGAGAAAATTCAAAAAACACAAAAAAATCTGAAACTTTTGACACCCTGTGAATCGGAAACTAAGCTCCCACGCATATATGTTTATATAGGACTTTCATCTTGAAAAAATGTCTTCAATAAGCTGTTGAAGTCCTGCTATAAAAAACTGAAACACCCTGTATAATTGGAAGATGAACATTAATATCAGAATTCTCCTTCTTTTGGTTTAGAGTGCACACAATAGTGTAGCTGTAATGCATAATACAATAAAATGATCATGTCTGTCAGCTTGATACAGTTGACTCATATACATTCTCCAATTTTCGCCAAACTTCGAAACGGCAGTTGTATACTGATACAAACGAAGTTATATGATTTTTCCAGATTAATAATACATATTATAGATCTCTACGTTGTTTTTACTTCAACTTTCTATAGCAAATCTTGAGTAGTGGGTAAGTATTGGGAGAGCAACAGGTGTATCAATTCTCGGTCAGTTCCTAATCTAACAGAATCTAATCCGATTTCATATCAGGAAATCAGCGAGGAATTTCAATCCCACAATGGCCAAAGCAGGTAAAACGACAATAGTAGAAGTAGAGGAGATTGTTGGTGTGGGTGACTTGGAACCAGACCAAATACACCTTCCTGGAATCTTCATTGATAGAATAGTGAAGGGTGAAAAGTACGAGAAGAGGATAGAAAAAGTCACCACTCAAAAGTTATCTGACAGCAAGGATTCCATTGTGAAGAAGAATCCAGCTGCTGAGAAAAGAGAGAGAATCATCAGAAGGGTAGCTCTCGAATTCAAGGATGGAATGTATGGTATCCTTATATCCAAAATAACACCTCTCACACTAACACAATCATTTCAACCTTTAATTTTTACACTGTTCATAGACAGCCGACCGGTCATCTAGCCACTTCCATTGTTCATCATCCAGAAACCGTATCGTCGGTGGTCTAGACCAATGAAAAGCAAGGTCAAATATTTCCTCTTTCCCTATCCACTTTATTTTTAACAGAAATTTACTATTAAAATACTAGAATAGGTACACCATTCTGACCATATGAAGAGAAACAAGCAAAATTATTCCACAGGAAGCAGACATCTTGGGAAATTCTGGTTGTTTTGAAAAATCTTTGACAAGGTGTATTGTCATTTCTTATGTCATGTGTCAATAGTGTTGAAGAGTATAGTTGCGTTTTATTTATCTGATTCCGCCACCGGAATCACTTCAATGTGTCGTTTTATCTGCAACTTCTCCGATTCCGGTTGCTCAAAGACAAAGAAAGTTACCGCGCGATGCGGAGCGGAGCGCGGTAATCTTTGGAGAGCGGCAATAACACTTTGTGCTTGAAATACACACAAGATTTTTTCTACTAACGCAGCTTTTGGAAATAACTACTCTGAAAGTATGAGGAATTGAAATAGTTGAAAAAGTTCTTATCCATATTATCCCATATGTCCAAAGGAAACAAAAAAAGAAAAATTGAAATAACTGACAAGCCAGAAAAAAAATGTCCGGCCTACCGAGAATTGAAACTGGACCACCAGCGTGGCAACCTGAGTTTCAGACCTCTGAGCCATAGTACGATAAACTCTGTAATCAAATTGAACATTACGCATTGATGCAATAAAATAAAGATACACTGTCTTTCTGATGACAACAAAGAGTTTGAATATAAAGTATAATTCATCGTTTTCAACAGATATGCTTCATCCGGGAGCTTCTTGTAGAAATTTGTTGGTATATATCTTCAGCGGTGAATGTTTTGGATTTTTCTCGCTTTATATCCAATAGATTGTTTCTTGAGAAATGCCATAAGTATCAGATACTTATTGATTCCGATATTATCTTTAACATTCAAGCATGTATACGTACCATCGAATATATAGACCAATGAGTTGATGACTTCAAAGTCTTTGATTTTTTACCAAAATAAGCCAGTAACACGTTTTCTGAATACATATTCACCATCTCGGAGTGGCGCTAATTTATGAATGTATCATATTGTAATTCTTATTTCTTCCTTGATTTCTCCGGTAAGAGATTCAAACTCTGCTATATCATCAGGAAGGAGGTGTGTTTGATGATTCACTGGTCACTATTTTCCATCATGACAGAAATGGGGGTTTTTAAGAATAGATAAGTATAGGTTACAGAGATGTGCGAGCGTTTTTTCAATATTTCCGCTCACGAGCGCAAATGCTGTCAAAGAATGACATTTCTGGGAAAACGTCAACTTTGTGCTGGAATTTGAAAGCGTCAAAGGCTACTTTGTTAACCCAGCCAACCATGAGATGTATAAGTGATGTATACGCCACATCACTTTGTGACATGCGATATCGCATTTGAAGTCACAAACATGTTACCGATACAACGTGGCGATGTGAAAATGTCCGACTCAAGCAACATCACTGTGACGTCGTTCAGACATGAAATGCGACATCACATGAGAAATCACTACCAGGTCACATACAAGTGTACATTTCATATTACAAATACATCACACTGCGACATCGATGATGTGGTCGCCGTACCTGTGATATTCGTGGGATATATAATAATAATAATAATTATTCAACTTTACGAAGGAAATGTTTATTTTCCGAAAGTAAAAACAGATGATTCAAAACTTATCATGACAATCACCCTAATTAGTAATCTTGTAGTAAAACATGACACATATATATAGCAATACAAATATACATTATTCACAAATGATACATATCACCTTGTTTTAGATTGCAATATTCCTATCTCAGAGATAATTACAATATTACCTATTGTGATTGAACTCACCGTCGTTCCTAAATGATTGTATACCTCCAATTTGAAGCTGCTATAATATGTGCTATAAATCATCTCAGATATTTCAACAGAGAAATTTGAAGGAAATTGTCTGTACGGAGTCGGACTCACTCACTGACTGACTGACTGACTGACATGGCCATGCACAGCTCAACATGGCGTCTGGCGTGTGCGTTCGTTTTGCGCATGTCTGCGTCACACTCACAGGTCACAAAGATATCTCATGAGGATATCAATGTGAATTATTTAGTTAACGTCGAAGAGACGTAGTTTGAAGAAGTCGCTGCCACATTACATAGTTTCCTGGTTGCGATGTCACCTTGCGACGTTGATATCGAATCTACGTCGATGAGATGTGTTAACGAGATATATTGCATTTATGAAAGGTTGTTACATCACACAGATGTTGATGTCACACGATGGTTGGCTGGGAAGCGTTTGTAGAAAAATGAATCTTCTGAACATTGAATTTGTACACTTTCTCTTAACTCACGTTATCAGTAAATTTGGGTATCGGGATGCCAGTTTTGGCTTCCAACTATATCCCAGCAGACATGGAGGTGTTACTGCAGTCTGAGAACGGGATACTCGGCCTGGGTCCGTTTCCGCATCCCAATTGCGTGGACGCCGATTTGATAAATGCCGGCAAGGAAACGGTGACAGTCATCCCGGGAGCCTCATATTTCAGTAGCGACGACAGTTTCGCCATGATAAGGGGGTGAGTCGACCTTGAAATCGAATGGAAATGATGAATGACGAGTTTGAAGGTTTTCGTGACTGATTGATTGTAGTGGATTTTTCACTATCGCTGCTCTACCGATTGACACCGAGATCATTGGACAAAGCGTGATTCAGTTGTTTTTCATGTAAGAATTTTGAAATTCGGAGCGATGATATATACAGGGTGTCCGGTTTTCGAGCTCCACCATGGGGATCTCTGTTATTATAAGAGATATGAGGTCGATTAAATTAGGAAATTAGGGCAAAGTTGCGAATTTTCATGCTGAACATTTATCTGCAAGAAAATTTGATGTCATTTTTAGTTTTTGAATTATTGGAAGAAGAAGAAAATTTATAATTTTCGTTTTTATTTTTTCAAGCGGAAACCGAAAGACCTAGACGTTTCTGACTGGGACATTCTTAAGGCACTTTTTGACAAGGAATCATAATCTGTCATTATATTTTCCATGGCATTCTTGATGCCAAAATAACAACACACAAATGTTGGCGTTTCTCCCAAAACACTCTTCGCAGAAATGTTTTTTTGCCAATTTTGATCAACAGGAAAGATTCGATCATATCGTGTGATACATCATTGTAATCAGAAGAAAAAAGACTTCAAAAATCCGATATGGCGCCCATGAGAAAAAACGAAGTTGAATGTTGTAACTTTGGCCTCAAGATCGTCATGGAAAATGCGATGACAAATTCAGATTCCTGGTAAAAAAGTGCCTCAAGAATGTCTCGGTCTTTTGGTTTTCACTTGAAAAAATGGAAACGAAAATTACATATTTTCGTTCTTTGAATAATAAAAACTAATTATGCATGAAAGCTGATTTGTTGTTATCAATCAATTTTTTATGATTCAACCAAGAAGATAAGGTACGTAAATCACTTTCAATGTGTTTCTTGATTTCTTCAGCCGAAGTTTCGAATAGATCAATGTTGTATCATCCGCAAGCATATATGTTTCCTTTCAATCCAAGGTTGACAATTGAGTTTATATATATCAGAAATAAAACAGGACCTAATATCGATCCTTGAGGGACCCCGCATATTATTTCTTCGGTTCGACTTGAAACTTGCTCCACATAAACAAATTGTTTTCTTTCGCTCAAATAATTTTGAAACCATCAATAAACAGAGCCTCTTATTCCGATACGAAATAATAGTTTCAGAAGAATTTTATGATTGACAGTATCGAATGCCTTGCGCAAGTCAAGTGACATGAGTCCACACATTTCATTAGCATCAAGTTGCATTTGGAACTCTGTTACAACATACAAAACAGCTGATTCTGTGTCACATGACCTACGAAAGCTATATTGATGAGTATAGAGATATTTCGTTCACTCTAAAAATTCGTGCAATATATCATCAATAGTTTTCTCCAAAATTTTTGAAAGAATTGGTAGCAAAGAAATCGGTCTGTAGCTTTCCATGTCATCCCAAATTTGAATCATGAGTCTGCCGTGCGTTTTCTTAAGTATTCAAGTTACGTTCTTCTTGTAATATTGTTCCAAGATTCTCAATGCGATTCAAATCCGGGCTCCGGGCTGACTATGCCATTGTAGTGATACAGACTTCCTCTAGATAATTTCTCACAACTCGGACGACGTGAGGCAATGATCAAAGTGCTTCGTTTGTCTGCTTGCCAAGAATTTGATCGATGACGTCACAGTGTCGCCATATTGATTTTAGAAAACAATGTCTCCTGCGCCGCCATTTTGGAAACAAATATCCACTTGTGATATGTCATTGAAAAATATATTTTTGCTGTATTTCAAAGGCGTGAAAATATATAAAGGTTCCATTTGAAATTCTTGACCTAAGTCAATTTCCAGTAAAACCGGTAGTTATTTTCAATTGTTTTTTCATGGGAACTATGGGTTTTAAGGAACAATATGACCGTTCCGAATTTCAGAATCCTTACGTAATAAACAATTGAATTACGCCTTGTCCAAGGATCTCATTGTGACCTGGTATAGTGGATGAGAATTATTTGAATATTCTGTTTTAGGGGGCACGTAGATTTGACTATTCTAGGGGCAATGGAAGTTTCTCAATATGGGGATTTAGCGAATTGGATGATACCTGTAAGTGAAAATTCCAATTACGATTATAGAAGTAGATTCATTAGCTCATCATCATAATCTGATAGATAACAGTTGATGACATGTTAGGGAAAAAATTCATAGTCCGACCTCACTTATTTCATATTTCAAGCCTGACAGCAAGTCTGTTGCATATTTCAGATTGTGGTAATGTGGTAAAGTAATGACTGTTTTCAAATGTACTCCGAATGCCGAGAAATAGTTTTCTAATTTCTGAGATAGGTGAGATCGCAATTTCATTTTCATTTTGGAACTTCATTAGCTGATATTTGTCAAATTTTGATGTTAAGATAATAATTCCTGTATTTCATTGAATCTTACGTATTGCACTGAGGAAAGTGGTATTAGAGTTTCTGCTGAAATGCTTCTTAATACCATTATAAGAAATCCTATAATCGTTACATTTTAAAATAGAAGCAGCACATTGAAATCCTATGATAGCAATAACAGTTTTGCTGAATGGGAATTTTCTGCACTAGAAGATATACTGCTATCACTATCAGGCAGTCACTCTGGATCGATTCAGCGAGTCATTTTCTACTGGAAAACCGAAAATTCGCGTGGACTTCCGCTTTTTTCCGACATTTTTTTCCGTTCGAAGGTGCATCTGCCAGCGTAGGAAATTCAAGTCTTAGATATGAAAATGAAAATTTTTCATAGGTCTACCAAAAATCTGAAAAAATTCATATAGACTAATTCGATGTCGTAATGGAAGAATCTGTGGTCGAAATTTGAAAATTTTGTAAAATAAGGGAGCAGTAGCCTACCAAAGTGCTACTTTCGGCAATAATCTAGAGTAGCTGACTTTAACTGCCCATATCTCGAAAACTACTCATCCTATCGGGTTGTTCGTGGTCTCAATCCATTCAGCTTGTCATTTTCTACTGGAAAACCGATAATTCGCATAGATTTTCGCATTTTTCCGGCAGTTTTTTCCGTTGGTGCGTCTGCCAGCGTAGGAAATTCAAGTCTTAGATATGAAAATGAAATTTTTTTAGGCCTATCAAAAATCTGAAAAAATTCATATAGACTAATTCGATGTCGTAATGGAAGAATCTGTGGTCGAAGTTTGAAAATTTTGGAAAATAAGGGAGCAGTAGCCTACCAAAGTGCTACTTTCGGCAATAATCGCGAGTAGCTGACTTTAACTGCCCATATCTCGAAAACTACTCATTCTATCGGGCTGTTCGTGGTCTCAATCCATTCAGCTTGTCATTTTCTACTGGAAAACCGATAATTCGCGTGGATTTTCGCATTTTTCCGGCAGTTTTTTCCGTTCGAAGGTGCGTCTGCCAGCGTAGGAAATTCAAGTCTTAGATATGAAAATGAAAATTTTTTATAGGTCTACCAAAAATCTGAAAAAAATCACGTAGACTAATTCGATGTCGTAATGAAAGAATCTGTGATCGAAATTTGGAAATTTTGAAAAATGAGGGCGCAGTAGCCTACCAAAGTGCTACTTTCGGCAATAATCGCGAGTAGCTGACTTTAACTGCCCATATCTCGAAAACTACTCATCCTATCGGGCTGTTCGTGCTCTCAATCGATTCAGCGAGTCATTTTCTACTGGAAAAGTGATAATTCGCGAGGACTTCCGCCTTTTTCTGGCATTTTTTTCCGTTCGAAGGTGCGTCGGCCAGCGTAGGAAATTCAAGTCTTAGATATGAAAATGAAAATTCTTTATAGGCCTATCAAAAATCTGAAAAAATTCATATAGACTAATTCGATGTCGTAATGGAAGAATCTGTGGTCGAAATTTGGAAATTTTGGAAAATAAGGGCGCAGTAGCCTACCGAAGTGCTACTTTCGGCAATAATCGCGAGTAGCTGACTTTAACTGCCCATATCTCGAAAACTACTCATCCTATCGGGTTGTTCGTGGTCTCAATCCATTCAGCTTGTCATTCTCTACTTTAAAGCCGATAATTCGCGTGGATTTTCGCATTTTTCCGGCAGTTTTTTTTTCGTTCGAAGGTGCGTCTGCCAGCGTAGGAAATTCAAGTCTTAGATATGAAAATGAAAATTTTTTGTAGGTCTACCAAAAATCTGAAAAAATTCATATAGACTAATTCGATGTCGTAATGGAAGAATCTGTGGTCGAAATTTGGAAATTTTGGAAAATGAGGACGCAGTAGCCTACCAAAGTGCTACTTTCGGCAATAATCGCGAGTAGCTGATTTTAACCGACCATATCTCGAAAAATACTTATCCTATCGGGCTGTTCGTGGTCTCAATCGATTCAGCGTGCCATTTTCTACTGAAAAACCGATAATTCGCGTGGATTTCCGCATTTTTCCGGCATTTTTTTCCGTTCGAAGGTGCGTCTGCCAGCGTAGGAAATTCAAGTCTTAGATATGAAAATGAACATTTTTTGTAGGTCTACCAAAAATCTGAAAAAATTCATATAGACTAATTCGATGTCGTAATGGAAGAATCTGTGGTCGAAATTTGTAAATTTCTGAAAATGAGGGCGCAGTAGCCTACCGAAGTGCTACTTTCGGCAATGAACGCGAGTAGCTGACTTTAACTGCCCATATCTCGAAAACTACTCATCCTATCGGGTTGTTCGTGGTCTCAATCCATTCAGCGTGTCATTTTCTACTGGAAACCCGATAACCCGCGTGGATTTCTGCATTTTTCTTGCATTTTTTTCCGATTGAAGGTGCGTCTGCCAGCGTAGGAAATTCAAGTCTTAGATATGAAAATGAAAATTTTTTTTAGGCCTATCAAAAATCTGAAATAATTCGAACAGACTAATTCGATGTCGTAATGAAAGAATCTGTGGTCGGAATATGGAAATTTTGGAAAATAAGGGCGCAGTAGCCTACCGAAGTGCTACTTTCGGCAATAATCGCGAGTAGCTGACTTTAACTGCCCATATCTCGAAAACTACTCATCCTATCGGGTTGTTCGTGGTCTCAATCCATTCAGCTTGTCATTTTCTACTGGAAAACCGATAATTCGCGTGGATTTTCGCATTTTTCCGGCAGTTTTTTCCGTTCGAACGTGCGTCTGCCAGCGTAGGAAATTCAAGTCTCAGATATGAAAATGAAAATTTTTTAGGCCTATCAAAAATCTGAAAAAATTCGAATAGACTAATTCGATGTCGTAATGAAAGAATCTGTGGTCGAAATTTGTAAATTTCTGAAAATATGGGCGCAGTAGCCTACCAAAGTGTGACTTTCGGCAATAATCGCGAGTAGCTGACTTCAACTGCCCATATCTCGAAAAACACTCATCCTATCGGGCTGTTCGTGGTCTCGATCGATTCATCGTGTCATTTCATCAAAGAAGATCGGAGTATAAATATTCTTCCATTCTCTTCAAATCCTCATTTATGTTGTTTTCTAAAATTACAGGGTATTTGTTCTCAAATAAAAGTACTGTGTCGTCTGCATATGTGGCATAGTTTCCTATTAAACTCATTCTTGAAATGTTCTGAGTATAAAAGATACCTAATTGGGCCCAACACTGATCCTTGAGGAACTCCTTTGATTACTTGTAAAATTGCTGACTGTGTACCACTCTTCTAGGGCAAAATGGTGAAGGGCATGGGCGGCGCAATGGACCTAGTGGCTGCCCCAGGGGCTAGAGTAGTAGTTTGCATGGAACATTCAGCCAAAGATGGCGGCCACAAGATCGTCGAACAGTGCAGTTTGCCGCTTACAGGCAAGAACTGCGTCGACGTCATCGTCACGGAAAAGGCCGTTTTTCACGTTGATCCGGAAATCGGGTTGACCTTGGTGGAGATTGCGGAGGGGGTGGGAGTGGAAGATGTTTTGATGTCGACTGGGTGCAATTTTAGGGTGGCAGAGGATTTGAAACCCATGGGGCAGATCGATGTGGAATAGGGTGTAGGCTGAAAGTGTTTTGTTGGATTTTGTCATAGGTTTATATTTTTCATTTATTGGTATAAGAATAAAAATATTTTACATCTACATTCGTTTTATTTCACATATTAACAATTAACGTACGTTCTTCTGAAAAAAACTTTGCGACTCAACAGTAAGTATCGCAGCTCAGTAAATAAGTTATCATATAGAAAAGTAACATGTAGTATAAGAAAAAAACAAAAAATTATCGATTTTCTCATCGGAATTTACATGTATCTCTTGGAATAAAATATACAGGGTGGGCCATCAGTAACGCCTCGGTCTCTAGAAGGCTAACCACTTATCTTCTTGGAATTCTTTCTCTCTAGGAAGTTGCATGTCAACATAGGCTACCATTTGAAATTATTTCGAAACATACAGGGTGTCCCCAAAAACCATAAAACACTGAAGTTAAACTTTTTTCTATCGAACACCCTATATATTATTTCATTTTGAGATTCTCCCTGCTGAGCTGATTTCAACGACCCATCATACTTGGGGTCTAGCAGTTATAATTACTGAAATATAGGGTGTGAAAAATCGAGATTTTCCAAATTCAAGAATTTTTTGTGTCGAAACTATTCATAATTGGTGAAAACGGCTTACATGTCCCTATCTCAACTTTTGATTAACTATCTACTGATATTTAATTGGGACATATACCGGGTGATCAATTCTGAATTCTGCACCACCCTGTATGTGTTTCAATTTAATGTCAGTAGATAGTTGATCAAAAGTTGAGATGGGGACATGTGAGCCGTTTTGACCAATTATGAATGGTTTAGACACAAAAAATTCTTGAACTTGGAAAATCTCGATTTCTCACACCCTATATCTCAGTAATTATGACTGCTAGACCCCAAGTATGATGGATTGTTGAAATCAGCTCACCAGGGAGAATCTCAAAATGAAATGATATATAGGGTGTTCGATTGAAAAAAGTTCAACTTCAGGGTTTTGTGATATTTGGGGACATCCTGTATGTTTCGAAATAATTTCAAATGGTAGCCTATGTTGACATGCAACTTCCTCTAGAGAGGCAGAATTCCAAGAAGATAAGTGGTTAGCCTTCTAGAGACCGAGGCGTTACTGGTGGCCCACCCTGTATATCTTTGTTACACAGGTGGGGCTTCTCAGACCCCAGAGCTGTTTACTGCACTGTCACTATCTTGGTAAGTAACTAAAAATTGAATTCGCACCAGAATATGACAGAATAAGGTGTTTTGGGAAGCTGTAGGCAACCAAAGAAATGTGCATGCATTCAAATTGAAATGCCAGTGATTTAAAATTTGTCTGGCTATCTCTGAGACCCCACCTGGGCGACGCCGGGTTAAGTGACGTTCACTCGATGTCGAGATAATGACGTGATTATCACGTCATAGAAAGTACATCATAGTGACGTAATAAACTGATGTGTGACGTCTCTGAAAAAAAATGACTAATTTTTATTTTTTTTATGTTCTGGTTCCCACGAAAAGGGATATCCTGTAATGTTCAGAGAACATCGTGAGAACCAAGGGAAATAAAGTGGGAATTGGTGTTCTTCTTGAATTTCTGGAGGTTATATGCTTCGGGGAACACCTCCCTTGGCAATGTAATCCAGAGCCTCGCTGTTCGATCGTTGGATGAACGAGTCTTTGGAAAGAGATGTTCTGCAGGTCTCCAAAGTGAACACAAAGGGGTGCGAAGCCTCAATACTCGACGGGTTAATCTCGCGGGGACTGCCAAGGGAGGAACAATTGTTGATATTTCAGAAGAGCATCGTCCATGAAAATATCTATAAAATAGAGCCAGATCGCCAACTTTTTTTTTATCGCTTGGAGCGCACGAAAGGGAATCCCTATAATGTTCAGAGAACATCGTGCGTTCCTAGGGAGGATAGGGATAGGAGGTGGGTATTGGATATTTTTTTGAACTTCTGGAGATTATATGTTGTGTTCACCAGAGAAGTGACTGAGTTCGTGAGCGATGCATCACCCACGAGACGAATTGCCCTTTTTTCGACAGAATCCAACAGTTTCAGGGTATGTTTGGGTGCTGCACTCCAAATATGGGAACAGTATTCCAGGAGAGGTCGGATCTGTGGCTTATAGATCATAAGCAGCTGACTGGAAGTGAAATAGCTCCTGGCCCGAAACAGAAAACCAACTTTTTGGGATGCACTTTTAGCAACTGATCTCACGTGATTTTCTCAAGAAAGGTTATTGCTGATAGTAATAATACCAAGCATCGAAATGGATGTCTTCAAAGGAATGGTTACCTACTCCTGACAAGCTCATGTTGGGCACAGTGAGATCGGCTTTTCTAGAGAAAAGGCATGCTTGTGTTTTGTTTGCATTGAATTCTACCAAGTTATTGGATCCCCATTCGAGAATGTTAGCCAAGTCCATATTTATGTTGTCAATATTTCTCCCTCGTTCGATTCTGATTTGCCTGGCTGGTATTGGAGCCCTGGAAGAGAAGGCGGTATGGAGGGTACTATCATCCGCGAAGCTGTGTACTGGACATGAAGTTGCTTCCAACAAATCGTTGATATGGAGTAGAAATAGTATTGGTGCTAGAATTGATCCTTGCGGAACACAGCTCTTATAATAAGAGAGTCAGATAAAACTCCGTCGACCACTACATGGAGAGACCTGTTTGAGAGAAAACTAGCTAGCAGAGAACATCGCTGGGGAGGCAAGCCATAAGATGGAAGCTTGGCGAGGAGTCCGTGGTGCCAGACTCGATCGAATGCCTTGGAGATATCAAGTGTGCCACGGCTAAGGTTTCACCATTTTCTGTTAAAATAAATTAGGAACGTGATCATTCGTCATCTAGTGGCCTGGGTAGCGATCATGATCGAGGGAATCCTCGTGAGTTCCTCCTTCTGAAGAGTGGCCTTGAAAGCGCGCTTGACAGGGCACAGAACTCCGCTACAGTTGCGTGATTGTATATATAGTGAGTCAGTCGCTTTCTGTGTTCCGTGGGTTTATGACGGTTGCAGATCGGAGGATCGCTACACGTGTTGCTCGTTGCTCTCGTATCTGAAACATCTCGAAGGTTGCTACGCGGTGATTGTTGGCGGTCTTATTTCATTGCGAGAGTCATATGGTGAGTTTGATTTCGAAATGTTCGCGGAAAACGATGAGATAATGATTTGTTGGTCATTTGATTCGCCTTAAAAGAAGGTAGCATTTTATTCTTTGTACCTATATGAGAGAGCACAATACCTGCTTATGAGAAGTACCAATTTTACATATTTATAATTTTGTTTGAGTAGGTACTTACCTAATCAATTGTTTTATCAAACCAGTGTTTTCATATAGATTTGCACTGGAAACCTCTCATTTTCTAATATGGATAATTGAATATACATGGTGGGTCGAAAATGTCGTCTGGAGGTGATACATTGAAAAATAAGTTTAGTTTGATGAATGAACTAATGGCCCGAAATGAATATTGAGGGAGATATATCTCTCCAAAGTTGCTGAAATGGAAATAATTTTCCTGCAAAACTTCTAAACGGTATATTGAATTTTCCTGCATGAATATGTTTGTTGATAAAATACATATTTCTGATACACTCTTCTGAAATTGTTATAAAGGGTGTTTTTAGTGGGTGGGTCAGGATTTTTTGAAGACAACTATTTTCTCGTATTCTTTTTGGTGAAAAAATCAAAGCGCATTCATTTGATATAGAGCAGAAAAAACATAAAAAGGGTACTGTCATCATCAGAATACAAAAATTGTGATAACCATTTTCGACATATTTGAGTTTTTTTAGGCTTATATATGATATCAGCAGATTGATACATCGGTAACAATATTTTAGGAGGCCATGATCGATTTTGTTCTTAATTTTGACATGAACATTGATATTGTTAATCCTCTTTTGTTTAGTATTTTGCTTAGTTATATTATTACTGCGATTTTCAACTGGGGTTTTAAGAAATTGCCAAGATGTTTCCTGCTCGACGCGTTCCAAATTCTGGAAAAATTTTAATGATTGTGCAAATATTGCGTGAATTCAAGTAGAATGTTTTATAACAAAAAATAGAGAAGCAGGTGTTCGGCGAAGAAGTTCGAGGCCTCCTGAAATATATATAATAACTGATGAATTTATCTTCTGATATCAGATGACTACAAAAACTCAACTATCTTGAAAACGAGTACAGTTTTTGTATTTTGATGAATGTACCGAATTTATTTTCGCTTTATCAAATGCTTCAATTTTTTCACCAAAAAGAATACGAGGAAAAAAGTTATCTTCAAAAATCATGACCCACCGTCTGAAAACACCCTTTATAACAATATCAGAAATCAACTAGGGAAAAAGCCAAATACTCAAAGTGAATATCAGGAATGTTGAAGTGTATCAGAAAAATGTATTTTATCAATATACTTTTATGCAGAAAATTTCAATCTGGTGGCTTTTACCGTTTAGGAGTCAAAATATACTTATTTTGCAATGTTTTATCACCTCGAGAAAGCTCGGTACACATTTTTGACTCACCCTGTATAAAAGTTCCTTCCTCATGACATATAAAAAAAAAATCTATCACATTTGAAAGTTCTCTGGCAGCGTATATCCCCCACTTTTTATTTTCAAATGGCACCCCCTGTATATTGTCATTGAAAATTGCGTGCCATTCTATGAGAAATACAATGATAGCATATACTTGGTATATTTTTATTATTGTTTTTATTATTAACAAAAACAGCAACATTAAATGAAGTATGAAATTCAACTAAAATAGCTTTTATGCGAATCAAAAAATGAACTAAAAATCACAGCATCAAGTGTTCAAAATTATTATTACATGAGAAGCATCGCCTTCTTGAAACCAAAAAGATGAGCGGATGCAATAATATCATTTTTATAAGGATAATTGAGAAACTTGAAACAAGTCACAAAATGTTGATATTTTTGTTATCGAATGAAAAATACCAAGTATATACGCTATCGTTGTATTTCTAATCGAGTGACACGTAATTTTCAATGAAAATATACAGGGGATGCAATTTGAAACTGAAATGTGAGGTGTAGCTGCCAGAGAACTGTCAAATATAATGAATTCTTTCATATCTCATTTTGAAGGTACCTACTTCAATGCCATTCAGTAAAGTTTTCGAATTTTTCAACTATATCTTGTCAAATAAGCGAGATACATCCTGTATACGATAACTTGGGACACCCGGTATATTTAACGCGTTTAACACTTCTTGAGGTATTGAAAACTTCGAAACAATATCTTGTCCTCTCAATAATTATTTTATAGACGAATTTGCGAATTTCTAAAGCGTGATCTTTCCTGATTTCGAAAATATATAATTTTTATACATCTCATAATGCTGGGTTCATCCACTATGAATAAAACTTTAATTAAAGTCTTTTTCATCAACTCATCTAGTTCAATTACACAAGTTTGCTGTGGTTGAAGTAAAATTCAATGTTCTCGATATTCTCCTCTGGTTTCTGCTCAACTTGAATTGAATTAGACTAATTAGAGGATCTTGGCATGAAGAAAATAGGTAATTCATTTAAAGTTTTATTCCTTCGATTTACTCTACATTACTACCTACATGTAAATGTATGGAAATTATATATTTCATTCGATTTCGACATTACACGGAAAAAAAACTTTAATAACAGCTAGTGAAATTTGCATACTACCAAGTAAAAATTTGCATACTATATGGGACAAGTACTCGTCTCATCAGCCACAAGAAAAATGATATTTCTGAATCTGATCACTTGTTGTTATTAATGTGATTTCAGGAACACATGTAACCTACTGATATTAAACGCTTTATTAGGGACAGAATATTTGTTTTATTGGCCTAAGTGTACATTTTACTTGCAGTTATACAACGAAATCATTGGATAGGTGGTCAGTTTGATAAGTATAGGTGACTTGTTTCACTTGGCCTCATAGAATACCTCACTTGTGGGTAGTGTTCTTTTCACTTGGAGTTATGCAACGACATTATTGGCTAGGTGCTTATTTCAATAACTACAATTATCTTGATTCACTTGACCTCATCTATTATGACTCACTTGTGGGTAGTTCATCATGTCTCACCTTGGATAGCTTTCATCCCATCTTTGTTATTGGGATACACCAGACTCAGTCGAACTTTCTTCCTGTCTTCACTCCTAATTCACTTGGCATCATTCAAACAAGGATCATTTGATTCATTTGTAATGTATCATCATTTATTTTCTTACAATACATTTTTATATCACAAATGAACAGTTTTATTTAAGAACTCATCACTATGAATAACGTCATTTCTACACAATGATAAACTTTTAAGTAAATAACAGATCGATAAAAAGTAAAACAGCACTATTGGTTGTCTATAACTCTCGGCCGCCCCAAAAAGGGATTCTGAATGGCACCTTCTATACCTCTCGTGGTGATGAGTCATACTTCCTCAGCATAATATAATGAATACAACACCAAAAATTATTTTTCGATTCACCACGTGCACCAAATCCTCAAACTGAACATACTCTCACGAAGTCACGACGAAACTGACGCTAGTGACGCTGATGGATTCTGATCAATTCGGATATACAACACGATCGAGAGGGCGACGATTATTCCCGATTACTGGGCAGGTGAACATGTTGTATTACCGTAGGTATATTGGGTTGTACCGCAGATAAACAATTGTATTGTGCTTGTAACACGAGTTTCTGTAGTTATTATTTCCTTTTCAGAAACTCGAACTTAATAAAGTCTAAAATACACTTCACCAGAGCTTATAAAATGTTTTCCTGTGGCTATACAAAGTGAATTATCTAAGATGAAAACTATTTGCTATAGGTGGATGAAATTATAGCTACAAGTTCATGCGTTCAGAATTATCATTTTACTAGAGGCTGAATAAAATTGTTTCTGGAATAGGTATTATTTTTCTTATCCCGATACAAAACAAGTCAGGAAAACATTTTACTTGGACCATTTTTTTCCGTGTAGGAAAAATCTTTCTTTTGAGATATGCAATGAAATATAGGGTGTTCCATCTTTGGTAGAAGTCCATATTGCTCGAGGTGGAGTCGGAAAATACATGCTCAAATTCATAAATTCGCCAACAGGGTGTTCCATCTAAAGAAAAAAAATACAATCCCCTGATTAAGAATGAATATCTGCGGAGCATCACCTGAAAGAGCAGAGCATCAAGAATTTGTTTCGAAATTTCCTTCATTGATGATTTTCGAGATATTGAGAGTTGGAATAAGGGTGATGTTTAGTCAATCACCCTACTATACTGTGACATGTTTTGACACGACGAACATTTTCCAATTTTCGAAATGTATATTTCAAGAAAGGTTCAATATGTTTTGCATTCGAATTAGGCAAGTATATGGTTTTATCTTCCAATAGGCCAATTTTTGCCAGAAAGTCATTTCAGACATTTCATCCAGTGTATCTACAGGAGATTGTCGTAACTTTTCCTACCAAATTTAGTACTTCACTATTTTGATTAGATTCAATTTCTCGAATTCCCTGTTCAATTTTGTTGAAAAAGTGCAGAAGTTTCAACTCAGCTAAAACAGATTTCGTGATATTTGGCCCAAATAGAAGCTTGCACAGGTATTTTCTCCATTATCAACGGAAGATTATTACAAAAGTAGGTTTGGTAGAGATCATAAAAAATGAAGAAAATAAATAATGATAATAATCGACTGTATATATAGGTACCGTAGAATGGGGTGACTTGATAAGATTTTTGACACACTTCCATAGATTGCGACCTTACCATGCAACTTTCAACCAAACTAAAAATAGTCACCAACTCTTTCGACCCTAAAGAACAGAACGATACATTAAAACCGTTTCTATATAGTGTAGTTTTCGAAAAAAAAAAAATGTCAAACGTCATATTTCAAGTCACCCCAATATGGGGTGACTTGAAATATGACTTCTTATCAACGATTATTTCAAGTAGGATGGTCTAGGTGGTGACATGAAATGAAAATTAAATAAAAAATATATAGAAATCATCAATTTCATAAAAAAAACACTGTGTTTTAGAACAAATATTTTTTAGCAAAATACAAAAAAGATAAAAAACTACAAAAATAAACAAAAAATCATTAG